TACATGTTACTTGGTGAGCTTAGCAATTCGTAGCCTACAACGATGAGGACATGACCAACTTTTTCGTGGGAGAAAGGAGAGGAGGAAAGTAGGAGTACTACATAATTGATTATACACTTGGTGGTCCTTTTCATCTTTTGAGTCATCTTGATTTGGCTTCTTCTCCCGGCATCATCAGGGCTCAATCATCACTCCAGTTGGGCCCTTTCTCCATTTATTATGTAATTATTAATCAAGTAGTACTCTGATTGTTCCCATTGAGCCCTAATTTTGAAATGACATGGAGATGGTCTCTGTCGTCCCTATGTTCAATTTGACTGCAGATAAGTTCCATCCACATAGATCAAGAGGTCGATCACAGCTTTTCGATCTGAAGTGAAAAACCATCAGTTCTTCAGTTAGTCATGCATGCAGCATGCATATAAATATGTGATATGCCGTTGCATATATATAGCATTATAGACTAATCGATTGATCAATCAATCCGCTGTGCAAAAAGTGCAAGATCACTCGAATTAAACTGTGGTCCTAGTAATAATTAACCGGCAAAGCTCAAGTACGTACTATATGTACGAAGCCTGTCTCACTCAATTTATTGTACTCATGAATGAACTCAAATCAAGCTCTCTAATCAATCGAGCTAACTTTGCATGGCATAGCATATGGTCAGCTTCTAGTAGTCAAGGTTTTTGGTTTCAAAAAAAAAAAAGGCAAGATGTACATCCCGTACGGCGACGTATATATACACACATGTATGTTGATTCTCTAATGATCTAGATCACTCTGATTATTGCTATTATTAGTGTAGTACACACATTGACGTGTGAGTCACGGTTTCACCTAAGTTAGCTCACACAAAGGCCGACCAAGGATATATATAAGATGAAAATTTGTTATTTTTCTTTATATGAATATCATTAATTAATTAATTAAGCAAACACCAACAACTAAAGTTGATCCTGTCGCAATAACAAGAGTTAATTAATTAGTTGCATATCTTATCCTACCAAAAATGAGAGAATGGAATGTACACTACGACCATGCATGTACATAGTCAAATTTTGACTATATTTTTTTGGTTGGCCATATCTGGTTCCTTCTGCATATAATCTATACCGTTGCCCTGTTAGTCATGGTCAACCAATTAATTCTTTCTTGTCCCTAAAAAAAAGATTAATTCTTTCTTGCGACGAAATGGTGATAAATTTGACGGGGAGATCAATTGTGTAATACACATTATTCCAGTTTAAGCATCGGTTTTGAAATAATGCCTGCAGTGTTTGTTCACTGAATTGATCCTGTGATGAGCATGCATGTATGGCTTTGGAGCCAGGCGCAGTGCAGCAGTTTTCAGTACTGTTCACTATAGCCTCGTGACATTGCAGGCATAAATCACAGCTGGCTGATCATCTTTTTTAACATGCACAGTACATGGTTTGTCCTTTGCGAATCTAAACTTGTGCACACATATAGTTGTATTATTGATTTCATCTAGTGTACCAATTAATTAATCTTAGGACAACAGCTAGCTTGTTTGGGGCGAGAATATTAAGGTCAGATCATCACATGCAAACGGCCTTCCCTGTTTCACTTGTCGAGTTCTTGCATGCAGGCCTCCACATGCATGCATGTATTCATGCGTTAAAATAGGTCAGAAAGGAATTTAATCAAACAGTAAAATGTGTATAGTACATTATTTTTATGCATGGCTCAGTAACATATGCCAAACGAACCTGTACAAGACAGAGAATGTCTTGAACACACAATGTGATGGCAATGTTGGATGTGTGTGCGTATAGGTAATTAATTGATTGGATACATGCAAACAAGTTTCAATATAATATGCATTAAGTGAATTATATAATTTATTTTCTAGATTTGCCTTGATTCTTTCTTACACTTAGTAATAACCAAGTGTAAAAATCATTCCTATAAAAAAATGTAAATCGCATTCAATCTATTAATGTACACACTTATCATCTCCCTCTTGCGTTAATTGTTCTTTTACACGCACACACACGAGGGGTTTGGTTTTGTGGTTTGTCCCGTGCTCACATATTTGCTAGCTAGCTCAATGCTAATTAAATTTGGTCATAATATTTATGTGTATATCCTCGCTTGCTCCATCCTCAGAATAGGCCCGAAACAAGCCATCCAAACCCGTGTGGATAGGTTCCAAACTATGAATCCAATCAAATGCACTCTAATTTCCATAAATTATACGCTTAGTTCCAGTTAGCCATACCAGTGCCATATCAAGAAACTTTCATGTTGCCTCGTGGAAGTTGAGATTGAAGCTACTACGGGAGAATCGGATGTCGGTGTGTGATGTTTTGATTTCTACGGTATTATATAAATTCTAAAATAATTTTGGGAAATGGCTAGTTTAATAAAAACAAAAAAAAAATTATTATTATGAGGAAGCCATGTATGCATGATATGTGGGTCTAATAATCTCACAATATACCTATGTGAACCACCTAACCCCTCCGCCTAGGGATCCGCCTAATATTGGTCTCTAATGTTTCGGTCTTCAACGTACTATCTAAATTCTGAGAAATTTTTTCAGGAAATAGCTAGCTAAAAAAAAAACTTTTCTTCTTTCCTTTCAAAAGTAAGCTTTACATGACCCATGGGCCCAATGGTCCCCCCCATGTGGACCCCCCACCTCCCAGGACCCACCCCGTTCACACGCGCACTCCTCTGGAGACTGCCCAATATAGGTTGATTATGATTCAGTTATATAAATAAAATGATTTTTTGTTGAGCAAATAAAATCGCATTTCACGAAGAATGTCACGGTAACTAATTCCATGCTCCTTAGAGACGATGTGCGGGATTCCTATCAAGGCAATACTACAATATAGTACCATATTTATTTCTTCTATCTTGTTCTTGTTCCTCTCTCTTTCTCGTCTGAGCCATTTCTCCGTGACCTCTTCTTTTCATGGCTTGGCACTATGCTAGCTTCTCCTCCTCCCTCTTCTAATTTCTTCTTACCCTCTCGCTGTTGTTTGTGTATTTGTTTGCTTGAGTGCAACTTATTTGTTTGTCATATCCCTCTTGCGTTAACCGCGTACCGTTCTTTTGCATGCACGCATGAGGGTTTTGGTTTTGTGGTTTGCCCTGTGCTTACATATTTGCTAGCTAGCTTAATGCTAAATTTGGTTATAATATTTATGTGTTTCCTCTCTTGTTTGCTCTGTCCTATTGTCTTCCGGATCAGAAGAGGCCTGAAGCGAGGCACCAAAAAATCCAAGTGGTCAAGTTCCACCACAGTAAACCTAACCAACCGAGGCACGCTTAGTTTGTGTATGCATATTATAGCTTAGTTCCAATGAATTGTTCCGGTGCTATATATGTTGAGAAAAATTCCATGTTACCTCCCTGTGGAAGTGGGGATTGAGGCTACTATCTACACTCTAAAACATTATTTTTTTGAAATGGCTAGATTAAAAAAAACAAACATTTTCTTCCTTTTTTATGAGGAAGCCATGTGTACGTGATATGTGGGTCCAATAGTCCCCATACACCTGTGTGAAGCGCACAACCCCACCATATCGGTCTCCAATGTTTTGATCTCACCGTACTATCAGAATTGAGATAATTTATAAGGAAATATCTAGCTTAAAAACATTTTCTTATTTCCTTTCATGAGGAAGCTAGGTATACATGATCTATGGGCCCACGTTCCCCCATAATACACACCCATGTGGATTGCGCACAACCCCTCTCCCCCCCCCCTTCCCTAACATGCACGTTTGGAGGTCCGCCTATATTGATTGATGATGTTTCTCTTGAGTAAATAAAATTGCATGTCATAGTAACAAATTACATGAAGACACTGCGTGGGAGACCATATTAATTGGTCAAGGTGATCAGATTTGAGAGTGTAATATATGTATCATCCAAATTCCGGCTACAACCTGCAAAATGTTAAGTACACTATCATCTTTGTGTTGTGTACATAATTCCCCTTATTGTGCATGTGCTACATACATCCATTTATGGTATACCATAATTTTTGAGGGGGGGAGGTGGCAACAAGGGTGAAACCCTGATTAACTTGGCCTAGAGCAACCAAATTGATCAAGATACGTGTAATAGTGTTGCTGTTGTGGATTATGTTTTGAGCCGTGTAGTTTTTGGTATGTCAGAATAATTTCATTGAATTTGATTAAATGTATGATTGAAAAACATAGGAATGTATCTTAGAGATATATGTTAATTCTAATTAAGTGCTAAATATAACATAGATTTGTCTTTCTTATCTTCTGGTGTGAAAGGTTATATGTGTGGACCCCGTAGTCCGCACAACCCCACGTAAGCATCATGGTCCCACTAGTCAATTTTTGTCCCTCTCACGTGAATAGCGCAGCTATTTAGAATAAAAGAGGTGTCACAACTCCAATAAGATTTATCATCGGCACCGTTCGAGCAGACTTCCATCGTGCCACGGACCACCGCTATGGGTGGCCGTCGATCAAGACCTACTTAGTAGGGGAGAAACGGATGCTAGAAAGTTTCAATCTCGACCATCGGATTATTTATCTAAATTTGGATACAAAAGCTTTAGGAAGATAGAGATCAATTTAATATATCAAATTCTCATTATCTTAAAAAAAATACTAGATTAACATCAACTCTTTTTTTTTCATTTCCATGAATAACGAGGTACACGCATGGGGGCGACCTGTGGGCCCAACCCAGTGGTCCCCACAGTCCTGCGTGGGCATTGTGACCCGGCCTCCACCCCCAGGTTTGCTGTCTCCCTTTCTCTGGTAAAATAGCATCACCTGCTCTGTGCTGTGGATGGCGAAGGCAAAGCTAGCTTGCATATATTGGCGAGATATATATCAGCTTGCAACCACTCCCACCACCACCACCACCACAATAGTGTACTATTCCCCGGCGAGAGATATCCTAAACTCCAAAGCAGGTAGAGTTCAGAGAAGTGAGTGATTGGGAAAGAAACAAGCGGTAGGGTTCATTCCCCTCCTCGGTTCCTGTGTGTTTGTGTGTGTGCCACACATAATTCCTCTCTCCTTGATGAATCATCTGGCCACTATATTTTTAATCTCTCTTTGCTCGTTTGGTGTGTTTCTCCTGTTGTTTTTAAGGGTTTGGTTGGCTCAGCATAGCTTTCCCAAATCTTTGTTTTTCTTCTAACCTTGTTCCTCTCTCTTTCTCGCCCGAGCCATTTCTCCGCGACCTCTTCTTCTCCCTCGCTTGGCACGGTGTGCTAGCTTCCATATCTCTTCCTCTTTTGATTAGTTCCTTCTTCTGCCGTCTCGCGGTTGCTTCTGTGTTTGTTTGCGTGAGTGCAACTTGTTCGTTTGTCATCTCTCTCTTGCGTTAATTGTTGTTTTGCATGCAAACATGAGTGTTTTTTTTTTGTTTTGTGGTTTGTCCTGTGGCAGGAACCACACATATTTGTTATCTAGGTGAATGCTAAATTTGGTTACAAGTATTTATGTGTTGCTCACTTCTTTCACTTGTCTTTTAGATCAGAAGCGGCCGGAGGAGAGGCAGATAGATAAACAGTGCCAGCCATGTCGCCTCCTCTGTGACTTAAATTGGACTGAATTGATCAGGTGGCTGCGCCTCACCTGAAGCCAACAAAGTAAGCAGCGAGAGGACGCGCCGCCAGGGTAGGGAGAGCAAGCTATATATCTAGCTGTGCTGTGCTGTAGTGATCGATCTCTCCCTGTTGTTTTGCGGGGATGGCGGCCGCCTCGTCCGCACCCTTCTTTGGGCTCGGCGACACGCAGATGCCGCCGCCGCAGAATCCCACCAATCCAGCCCTCCACCACCACCCCAACCCCTCCCCCGCTCCCGTCGCCGCCGCCGCGCCCGCGCCGAAGAAGAAGAGGAACCAGCCTGGAAACCCAAGCAAGTGTTCTTTCTTGATCGATTGATTTCCCCTTTCTTCTTCGTTCGATTGTATCGTGTTAAAATTAATCAGTTGTCGATTCTTCTCGTGCAGATCCAGATGCGGAGGTGATAGCGCTGTCGCCGCGGACGCTGATGGCGACCAACAGGTTCGTGTGCGAGGTGTGCAACAAGGGGTTCCAGCGGGAGCAGAACCTGCAGCTGCACCGGCGAGGGCACAACCTGCCGTGGAAGCTGAAGCAGAAGAACCCCAAGGAGGCTCGCCGGCGCGTGTACCTGTGCCCGGAGCCGTCGTGCGTCCACCACGACCCGTCGCGGGCCCTCGGCGACCTCACCGGGATCAAGAAGCACTACTGCCGCAAGCACGGCGAGAAGAAGTGGCGCTGCGACAAGTGCTCCAAGCGCTACGCCGTGCAGTCCGACTGGAAGGCCCACTCCAAGACCTGCGGCACCCGCGAGTACCGCTGCGACTGCGGCACCCTCTTCTCCAGGTCCGTATGCTTCGATCTTGATCTTCCTCGTCTCGTCCATGGATTGATTCGTTCACGATCTAAGTTAATTAATTCGAGTAATTGATCCATATCTTTGCAATTAATTCTTTCGCGAATTGAATTGACAGCAAAATCGGCTGGCTAGGATAGTAGCTAGATAGATATATTCCTTTCGAATTCAATGGGGTATTATTATCTTCCTGTTTTGTTCGTTCGCATGATTGGGTCATGATGAACTCGATCGCGGGAAAGTGATCGATCGATTTGATGGGTGGTGGTGGTAGTACGCCTTTGTTAGGGTTAGCTAGGGTTGTCGTCGTTCGTTCGTTGCTATAGCTCGTTGCTCCGCCATGGAAGAGATTGGATTCCTTCGAGAGAGAAGGAACGGTAGGGACGACGACGATCTCCATAGACGCGCCGCGCGCGCGTGCGCTGCGTGCAGTGGATCGAGCATGAAATGCGACGAGAGGGCATGAGCGCTGCTGCTCCCACGTGAACCGTTCTTGTCGGGAGGAGACGGGAGAGATATGCATCCTGACATGGGCGACGGCTCAAAAAGGAGCCATCTCCTCCTTTTTTCCACCTCGGAAACCACGCTCCTCTCCTCTCCTCTCTCTTCCCCCACCTGTTCACGTGGTGAGACATACGCGCCCCCGTCGTTCGTCTGCAAGCTGCTACAAGCCACGGCATCCAATCCAAACATGCCTCGCAGCGCGGCGGCTGGCTAGCTTGTTTCTCATGTGATCGTGTAGCTGCATTCCGTGGTGGGCAACTGGCCGGCAAGCAGTGTACTGTACTACTGCTGTTGCTGTGCTTGCTTGACCCATGCGTCCGGTAAAAATCTTAGCTTCTTCTCTCTCTCTCTCTCTCTCTCTCTCTCTACCTCCATCTATCTATATCTCTGGCATACTGCACTGTCATTGGTTTTAATTACTAGCTAGCTGCATGACAATTATTAGCCACAAGCCTGCATGCAGCCGGATGCATGGATTGGCCGCTAGCTGGTGTTTTCTTGTGATTTATGCTTGCTACTCTCTGTTGATAGTAGCAGCAGATATGGTGCTAGTGCTACAGCTAAGATGATTTATTTTCGTTATTAATATTGGAGGTTTTTATGCGAGAATTTCATTTCTGTAGCTGTTGCATGCGTACGTTTACTCATTCATTAATTATTTGGTTTTATTTGCCAGCCTGCAACTAATCTGTACGCAATCAATCTACAGCTAGTAGTGACCAAGTATTTTTGGCAGTGAAATAAATTGATGATTAATTGAAATACTATCCTTGCATGCCATTAATTCTTCAGTTTTCTTCACCTCTGTATTGCTGGTGATATGCACTAGTCATTAATAGTACACTTAAGATTGTTGCCAGAGCAGTGACAATAATCTACTGCTATGTATAGATTCCATGTTTTAATTACTACCCACAACTGAGACACCAGTAATTAATCAGCACATTTAAAATTCCCGCCATGTGTGATTTTCAATATATTGCAAATCAATGATGAATATATAAGCTTAATTGATTGTAAAAATGAACTGCCCATTTTTCTTTTTGCGAGGAAAAAAATGACCTGCCCATTATATTACAATGGAATATTGATCAACTGGCACTTAGGCTCAGTTTGAGGCTCAGTTTGAAATTAATCTCGTTAAGCTTTTTGCAACTTTTTTTAAACCACTATGTGTGTATTCTTTTAAAAAAAGTTAATTATATACAAGTTTCTTTTAAAAAATAAAAAATACTTATTTTTATGTTTATAATAGTTAATACGGAATTAATCATACGCTAATATATTTCTTATTTTACTTGCCTGCACCCAAACTAAGCCAAACCATTCGAAAGAACGTAGCCTTAGTTATGCATGTGTACACGCTTATATCATATGCTAGCCAGCTTTGGTTGCGGACCCGATCACAGAATATGTTGAGAAAAAATTCACTATAATTTTGTAGCAAAAAAATATAATTTCACTCTAACTTGACTAAAGAGGCTGATCAGGGAACTGCCGTGCGCGCCGCATCGTGCGTACCCACCTGTGTTCGAATCCCATTCGACATGTGTGTTCACATTCTTTTCATTCTTTATCAATGCATACCATACCAAGTTACTCTTTGGTATCCAAAATTTAAAGGCTGCTTTTTTTAGCGAAAAATATAGTTTCACTCTAAGTTGACTAAAGAGGCTGATCAGGGCGTTGTCGCGTCACGCGTGCGTTCCCACCCGTGTTCAAATCCCATTCGACACGCGTGTTCACATTTTTTTCATTCTCTATCAATGCATACCATACCATGTTACTCCTTGGTATCCAAAATTTAAAGGCTGCTTTTTTTAGCGAAAAATATAGTTTCCCTCTAAGTTGACTAAAGAGGTTGATCAGGGCGTTGTCGCGTCACGCATGCGTGCCCACCCGTGTTCGAATCCCATTAGACGCGCGTGTTCATATTTTTTTTCATTCTCTATCAATGTATACCATACCAAGTTACTCCTTGGTGTTCAAAATTTAAGGGCTGCTTTTTTTAGCGAAAAATATAGTTTCCCTCTAAGTTGACTAAAGAGGCTGATCAGGACGCTGTCGCGTCACGCATGCGTGCCCACCCATGTTCGAATCACATTTGGCATGCGTATTCACATTTTTTTCCTTCTCTATCAATTAATACATACCAAATTCCTCCACCATGGTATCCAAAATTTTAAATTAAGGCTGCGCTTGCATACCCACCCGTGTTCGAATCCCATTCGGCACGCGTGTTCACATTTTTTCCCTTCTCTATCAATAATTAGCCAATTAATCCCCTAACCATTCCATTTTTCTCCCTTTTTTTTAAATTTTTTTTGGCTCACTGTCTGATTTACACGTCGCTGCTCTCTCCTCCTGGCTCCTCGCGCGCGCCCAAATGACCGCTCGTAAGCAGTAACCGGTCAAACAAAATTTTGGGCGCCGTGGGAGACTGCATACGCGCCGGTATCCAATACGAGTTAGAGCCGGTTGTATTACAAGGCTATTTTGCAAAAAATACATACCAAGTTTCTCCACCATGGTATCCAAAAATTTAAAGGCTGATTATCCTGGCTATAATTTAGTGTTCATGTTCACTCCAATAGTGAATGCTATAGCTCCTAGCTAGCTCCAATAGTGATGCTCCAGAATTTCAAAAACGAATTTCATTATTGCCCGCAGTGATTGAAAAGTAGTTGTACTACTCACTGTAAATATACTATAGCGCCATATGTGATCATGTATAGTGGTACAACGAATTTTTACTGAGATTATTTCACGCATGCACAATGCATTCCATGAAATAATTTGATACATTTGTGTTCTTCACATATTGGATCAAAATATGCAGGAGGGACAGCTTCATCACCCACCGCGCCTTCTGCGACGCGCTGGCGCAGGAGAACGCGCGCATGCCGCCCATCGGCGCCGGCGTATACGGCGGCGCCGGCAACATGACACTTGGGCTCACCGGCATGGCCGCCCCGCAACTTCCCGCCGGCTTCCCTGATCAGGCCGGCCAGCCGTCGGCGTCGGCCGGCGATGTCCTCCGCCTCGGCGGCGGCAGCAATGGCGCCTCTCAGTTTGATCACCTCATGGCCTCGTCGTCGGGCTCCTCCATGTTCCGCTCGCAGGGATCGTCGTCCTCCTCGTTCTACCTCGCCAATGGCGCCGCCCATCATGCTCCCGCTCAGGACTTCGGCCCGGAGGACGGCCAGTCTCAGGCCGGCCAGGGCTCGCTGCTCCACGGCAAGCCGGCGGCGTTCCATGACCTGATGCAGCTCCCCGTGCAGCACCAGCAAAGCGGCAATGGTAACCTCCTCAACCTTGGCTTCTTCTCCGGCAGCAATGGCGGCGTCGACCAGTTCAACGGCGGCGCTGGAAACGGCGGGCAGGGCAGCATCGTTACTTCTAGCGGCCTCGCCGGCAACCACGGCGGCGGCGGCGGCGGCTTCCCTTCTCTGTACAACTCGTCCGAACCGGCCGGTACACTGCCGCAGATGTCGGCGACGGCGCTCTTGCAGAAGGCTGCCCAGATGGGTGCAACGACGAGCAGCTACAACGCCGGCGGCGCCGGTGGCGCGAGCTCGCTGCTCCGTGGAGCTAGCTCCCACGGGATCAGCGTCGGTGAAGGGCCGGCCAACGAGAGGTCGTCGTACCAGAATCTCATCATGGGCTCCATGGCGAGCGGCGGCGGTGGCGCGGGTTTCGCCGGTAGCTTCTCCGGCGCGTCTGGATTCGGTGGCGCCGTCGACGACGGCAAGCTGAGCACGAGGGACTTCCTCGGCGTCGGCGTCGTCCAGGGCATCAGCGGCTCGGCGGCAATGGGGCCGCCGCGCCATGGCGCGGCCGGCCTCCACGTCGGCTCACTGGACCCGGCAAACATGAACTGAAGTCATCACAGAGAAGAAAAAAAACAATAGAAGACGGAAGGAGATGATCATGCTGCTAATTTCATTTCATCATATCAGAATTAGTCAAGAAACTGGAGGTAATTAATTAAGAAGAGAAAAGCGATTTCAATCCATGCAAGATGGATGTTTCTGGGGAAATCTGGAGCTGTTAATGGTGAGTCGTAGTTGCTAGCTAGCTAGCCAGAGCTGGGAGGAATAATAATAATACCTGGATTAAGTGGCCAGAACTTAATTTTGTACCGGTACATTTCGTTTGTTTTTCATGTACTTTTGGCAGGGAAATGGGTCTCTTTTGATGTGAAGTCATCATGTGAAGGCCTGACCCCAGACTAGAATCAATTCAAGCGCGCGCTGTGCCTGGATTAATTAATCTTGGAGTTTTATTGCTTGTTTTGGTGCACATATATGCAGGTACAGTGGCTTGATCATCTGTGCACTAGCTAGTCTCGTTACTGTCTTACTGATTACTCATCAGTGTAAGGCTTAGCTATAATATTTCATGTTGGTTTCTTCTCTGGGTGTGCTGCTTTCAAAGTTGAAAGGGAGGAGCAAAAGCAAGCATCATTAAATGTGGGCTTTGGCGTAGTGTCAGTATACACTGTCACTGTTTGATCTGAACAGCAAGCAAGCAGCAGCAGCATAAGACTGAAGAAGAAGGTTACAAACAGATCGACCAAAGAAGGCACGCATCCCACTGTCCTAATAACACGGCTGTGTTGCTTTGCTCGATCGCTTCCGTAATTATTCCCTGCTTGGCTTCTTCCTTCTTCACTTCACTGTCCAGGTCCAGCTGAAACATTGCATTGCTGCAATGCTTGCTACTAGCAAATTAAGCTACTATGCTGCGACCACAGTGCATGCAATTGCACACTCGACATGTACTACAGGGAGAGCTCAGCTCACATAGGGCAGGATTATTATTATTATTATTGATATGTATGCATATGTAGAGACACACACAGAAAGGTACTACTACGTAGCTACCGAACATTTGGAAGTAGCTAAATGCTACAGAACAAGAGTTTTGGATGAAGTTTGTCCACGTGAAGAGAGAGATAGAAACTTTGAGAGAGAAAGATGGATGCATGCAAGTCTGTGCAGGTCAGAGGTAGCCAGGTCTCTCTCTGTGAGTACTGTGCACTGTAACACACTGGGGTGAGCGGCTGCTTTCACAGGAGAGTGTTGCGTATTTGGGGTATATATCTACTTGACATTTTTGTTCAACACGGTTACGGTAAAAGTGTGTTTTACATTTTTCTGAGGAGTTTAAGTTTTGACTCTTGTCTAGCTACTTCCGCTAACCATTACAAAGATCAACCCTTGCTTTTTTTGTTCGTATTAAGAATTCGCCCCCTGGCAACTGGTTTGGCGATCAATATTTTTCACAATAAAATTGAAGTCGTTGTGCAATTACTTTCTACCTTTTCCCCAATTACAAGGAAATTCACCCCTGGCCACTGGTTGGGTGATCAACGGTTTTCGCAGTACCCATAGTGTCAATATGCATGGATGCATAACTTCAAATGCAAAATAATCCTACTAGTAGTATTCGTTAGAGAATAAATACATATGTTAAAATTGGCCATATGATTTAGGAAGGAGATGTGCTTGCTGGTACAGTGGCAAACGCACACAGTGCCATATGATTTAGTACCAGTTACGCTTGTTGGTGCAGTGGCAAACGCGCACAGTTTTAACCCCATCGAGCTGCGCTCGACTCCAGGACGCTCGCAATTTCATATGAATTAATATTTGATACCAAGCTCCTTCTTGGTCGTCTAGTCTACATATCGATATCGATATGATTTAGTACCAGTTACGCTTGTTGGTGCAGTGGCAAACGCACACAATTTTAATCCCATCGAGCCGCGTTCGACTCCAGGACGCTCGCAATTTCCTATGAATTAATATTTGATACCAAGCTCCTTCTTGTCGTCTAGTACTACATATCGATATGATTTAGTACTAGTTAATTTATTTCCTATCAAGCTTAAATTTCTATATATAAACAAAAGATATATGGTAATATGTTTGCATTTTCCACGTCGATCCGGTTCGACTCTTTCTGTGTTCGCAACAAGAGAAATAGATGGGTGCGCTTGGTCTCTGAATTTGGAAGAGTAGTGAATAAAATGGAGGGAGAAGAAATTAAGAAGCGTACAAATTAAACCTACAAAGTTATTAATTTGAGTCGTTTAGTTGAGAAAGTTTGTTTCACGATAGTTAGGCCTAAAACAAAACTCGCAACTCCCCTTTCATTGATTATTGTATGGTAGTTTAATTTAAAAAAGTCCAACACCATCGATCTTCACCAACAACTAATCAAATTACAAATGCATCGGTGCGTAAAGATTATACACGGACTGACGGACACTCCTATTTCAAAATTGTTCACATGCACTATCAATATATGGCCTGTATAGCTCTAATTAGCTATAGCATCAATATATTTTATGATAAATCAACGGCCAAATTAGTCGAAGACCTTTTCAATATACCATGTAAATTAAAATGAACAGAGATATCATTAATTTGATTTGCACATATAAGTGTATTTGTCTGATATTCTGAACCAAATTAAACAAGACCCCATATACATGCATGAATTGAAAACTGATTTCATGTGTGCAGTCGATCGATCGTCCATAAATATCCTACGGATTATATATACGTACATTTTTGTGGATGACGTGCATTCTGTGATGACAGTACTCCAGTGCATAATAATGACGTTTGTGGTCCTTTGTTCGTTACATGTACTGATGGCGACAAAGTAATTCGTCCTATCTCTATATACACGCAGTCGTCCTGAATACTTTGCCGCTAGCTTAGCTGTCGGCGTCATGCGATAAGTGTCCAGGTTCCTGACTCTTCTCTGTGTGGCTTCGTTGATAGTGTATATAGTACTATCCCCACCATTTCTTATCGTACATGTGGTCTCGAACATTTACATTTAATTCGTTTTGAGCGGTAAACAATATGTTAATTTTAACAATAAATTACCAGTTAGTTTTTTTTACTGGGAACTGTATAGTACTCCCTCCGTCCCATAATATAATGGATTTTGAGTTTTTATTTGTATTGTTTGACCACTCGTATTATTCAAAAAATTTGTGCAAATATAAAAAACGAGAATTTGTGCTAAGGATAATAAAGTAAATAAAAAAAATAAATAATAATTTCAATTTTTTTTGAATAAAACGAGTGGTCAAACAGTGCAAGTAAAAACTTAAAATAACTTATATTATGGGACGGAGGGAGTATGTCAATTAGGAACTTTGTTTGCTCTCGGTCGTACCGAGCTAGCTAGGGCAGAAGTTACATGAATTAATTAATCCTAAAAATAAGGTAAGTACGTCTAGACTAATTAGTTATAACCATTATCATCAACTCTTAATTAAGCAAGTCATGTACTCCAGCTTTATTATCTACTAATTTATTAATTGCATGACTATAACCCTGTTTAGATGGGACTAAAATATTTTAGTCCCTATCACACACTGGTGGAGAAACCATCTTTGGTCGGTCCGGCAAAATCCACAATAGTCTCGGATCCAAAAAGAACCGGGACTAAATATTGTTTTTAATCCCGGTTATAAAAATTTTGATCTTTAGTCTCGGTTGGTGTTACCATCCGGGACTAAAGATGATCTTTAGTCCCGGTTCATCCCTTGTCAGATGTATGTCAAGGGGCCGAGGATCTTTAGTCTCGGTTGGTGTTAATAACCGGGACTAAAGATCAAGATGATCTTTAGTCCCGCTTGGTAATATGAATCGGGACTAAAATTAAACACGTAGTATATAATCCCTATCCCTTATCCTCTCATCCACAGTTACGGATCGAATCTCACCCCTCTCCTCAGATCCATCCTCTCTAACTCTCTTCCTCATCCCCTCTTCTCCAACTCCTCCCCTTCCTCCTCTCCTCCCCCTTCTCCCCTTCCTCCTCCCCTTCCCATCCGGCGGGCCGGCCGGCGGCGGGCGGCGGCGAGCAGCGGCGGCAGTGGCGGGCGGCGGGGCCGCGCCCGGCGGTCGTGGTGACCGGCGGCGGCGGCGGCATTTTTTTTTAATTTGTGATGATTCACTGAGATGTATTTGACTAAGAAGTTATAAATTTATGATTCATTGTTTGGATCTGTGATGTATTTGAGTAATTTTGTGATTCATTGTTTGGATCTGTGATGTATTTGAGTAATTTCTTAGGATATTGTGATGTATTTGATTTGTGTGTATAAGTAACTTTATGATTTGTGATGTGGATTTGGTGATGTGAATTTGGGATGTTAGTTTGATTTGGGGATTGATTTGGGGATTTGCCTACTTGATTCAGGAGAAAATAAAAAGGAAAAAAGAAAAAGGGACCAGCTGTACTACCCGCTATTGTCTCTTTAGTCCCGGTTATTTCAACCGGGACTAAAGATGTCCATCCGGTTGGAAAACCGGGATTAAAGAGGGGTTCCCAACCGGGAGTAAAGATGGTTTTTCCACCAGTGACATCGGATGTTTGGACACTAATTATAAATATTAAACATAGACTATTAATAAAACTCATTCTATAACCCTGAACTAATTCGCGAGACGAATCTATTGAGCCTAATTAATTCATAATTAGTCTATGTGATGCTACCGTAAACATGCGCCAATTATAAATTAATTAGGCTTAACTACACGAGGTTGACGAAACAGGAAGCATGTGCAACTGGTATTCTGTATGTACCAGATCGAAGAGGTACGTAACTCAAATCTTCTTGTCGTCGCCTTGGCCTAGCTTCCAAGTTTTAACTGTGCGTAAACTTACTGCTGGTAAGCTATAGCTAGCTTGGAAAGGCGAGCTCTCTTTGTCTGAAAGTGTGTTCTGATTTCTCTCTGTCTGAAAGTGTGTTTCTGATTTCACTCTGAATCGGTCACGGCCGGCGAACTCATCGATCGGCGCCGCAGTCTCGCAGAGAGAGAAGAAGAGCCTCTTTTGGCTAGCTTGTGTTTGGTGACTTCACTTCAGACTTCAGAGAGGCCCGTACGTACTACATATATACTGTTCCGGGATTCTAGTAGCACAAAGTTACACAGTACTGCAGCTAGCATGCACGACTGTCTACTGTCTAATCCATGCATGCATATATACTTGTGTTTGGTGAGAGATTAATGTTCTCCGGCCTTCTGTCCTGGATTATTGTATGCATGCATATTGTCTGTGTCAAAGAGTCAAGCTTAAGAGTACTAGAGATGGTACTTCTTGTGGCTTTTGTTGTAGCTTTCTACTTTGACATATCGTCCATTGCCAACTAGTACTATATGGACTTATGCAGCAGTGGCTCATGTGTAGTAGTAGAACTTAGCTTGGAAGTTATAGTAGAGTAGCATATGCTTGAGAGGGCGATTTCAGATATCCATTTCTTTCGCTGCATGCATGCATGGCAAAACTTTAGTCTGTTGACTGTGCAGGCTGCTGCTGCTCTCTGCATAGGCGCAGCCTTGCATGCATGCAAAGCTCGCTGAAGAGATCTGCACACTTGTCCTCATCGTCTCTTTCTCGATCGATCGATCACATGCACACTCTCACAGTCACAGTCTCAGGCTCAGCTCACACAGTGCCACGAACACACAGATCAGGAGAGAGATGATCGATCGATAAGCTAGCAGATGCAGTACGTTTGATGCTTTGTTAAAAGCCCTGGGACAAAAAGAACTGCCTTTTTTGTGGGAATTATTGCACACACCTGCATGATTGCATCCCAATCCGATCGATCGACTTCATTCAAACTCCAGATCCCTACATAGCATAAACGCGCGCGTCCTGCATATATAATGCATGCCTCTCTGAAAAAAGGGAATTCCGTGTGTTCCTGTGTGCCACATTGATGCCAACCGGCTAGCTTGTACAGTGCCGCCCCCCGCTCGACTGCACAATGCCGTATGCGGTTTGGAGGCGGCCGCGAGGTTCTATTTGGAAAGCTCGAGATTCTAAGAAACAACAGAAGTAAAACCAATCATCTAGTCAAAAATCAAAATTTACAAAGTTGAGTTTCATATCTTTAGAATTTTTGACTTCCAATTAATTTATATTTTTTTAATTCTCTACAGTTATGAGTTCTTAGAATCGGAACGAGAATCTATAGATAGACTATTTGAATAAGTTAGAGATTCAGAGAGAAACCGTAGAAACTCTCCTAAACAGGGACTTACACCGCGCCATCACTGAGCGGCGCATGTGTAGAGAGATGCTAGCTAGGAGGGGTACACACATGTGGGGTGGGGTGGGGGGGGGGGGGTGTTGTTGTTGTCTTTGGTGGTGGCCGGGCGCGGTTGGCTTGTTGCACCGGCAAGCATATATAAGACGGCATATGCAGCTGACCATATGGGGCACTCTCGATCTCATATGGGATTAGGTGTGTGGTACGTACGGTGTCGCATGCATATGCTGCGCAGCTGGGTCTCGCGCAGCGAAGCCTCGATGCATATACCAGGGCAGGATTGGATGCTGACGGATGGTGGATGGACGATGGAGTTGTTGGCTTCTTGCTCGCCGGACCGAATCTTTGTCGTCCTTTGAGATGGACCGGTCGATAGATTTATATATATATCGATCGGATTTTTTATATATCGAACTCGATCGATATTCATTGATTGATTGGGAATATATATTTGTACGGTTGGTCGGCGCGCTAATGGTAATGGAAGTGGTGTAGGAGTACTGTAGTACTTAGTATGTACCTGAACCTGATCGAGTTAGGTCGGTTTTTCTTTTGGTCGACAAGGATATGTCATATATATACTCCTATTTGAGTTAGGTTTTGATGCTTGATTGATGGAACGTGTCTCTAAACGGCAAATGATTTGATTGATGATCGATCCGACGACTCTATTTCGCCACAAGAATTCTTTAATTACCGGAGAGCTGCTAATTAATTATTTCACATGGATGCATACTTATCTATGTACTGTGGTATTTTCACAGAAAATCATTTAATTTTTCTTCTTTAGTTTCTGCTGTTTGGGAGTTGCCCTCATCATTCTTATATTCGAAGGATAGATGGTCATTAGTTAGGAGTGGCCTTTTATAACGCAACCGGAAATGTATAAGCAGCAGCTTTGAGAGCTTAATTTGTTCCATAGCTAAAGCCCAAAGGTATGTACGCGGCTTGGGTGGCGGATTATATTGGATCGCACGTATCAGATCGACGAGCACCACGGCGGCGACGGCAATACAATGGATTCTGCCTCTGGCCGGGATTGAGATCCTCTGTAGTCGAGTGCACCTTACCTTAATTAGATTTATCACTAACATGTGAGTTCGATGAGTTCTGGGTCCACATGTCAGTAACAAAGCATCGGCTCTATATGTTAGTGATAAAGGCGTCGACTGTAGAGTATCTGATACTGATCCCTCTGGCTGCGCCAGCGGGGTTGCCCGGCCGGTTGGCCTGCCATGAAAAAGCTCAGATCGGTCGAGTAGCTAGTCGTCGTCGGAGGTTCAATGGCAATGCTAGCTAGGTAGCTGGTGTGAGATTCAGGTAGGATTAACAGTGTCCAGCAGCAGATCAGGCGTAACATCATGGCTCAAGGCCGCCGGAGCTCCGGCGAAAGCGGATCGATGGCCACGACGCGGCCGGCGGAGCTCCGGCGCTTCTCTGCCCCGTCGGTTTTGCCCACCCAACATCGGCAGTCGAGTCTAAATGAAATGGTCGGCCCATCTGGCCCATAAAAAATTGGATTGCTACCAATTCAAATTGGGCCTCCAGAACATAAATCTCTAGCTGGTGATAGGCCCATTACCATGCTTTCTTCGTCGTCTACCTCGCCGGCGTCCGCTTACGGCCTCTAAACCCAGCGCCGCGCAGTCGCCGCGGGCAACTGCCAAGCCCTCGTCCATGGCGGCCTCCCTGCGGGGCCTCGCGCTCTCGCCGCCGCCTCTGGTGGCTCCCCCCACGTGCGCGCCGTCTCGCCGCCTCGTCCCGTCGCCGCGGAGCCGCAGCGGCTACGGGGTCCGTGTGGCAGCGGCGGCCGACGGTGCCCCGCGGCCATCGGATCCCGTGGAGGTGGTCGGCGTCGGGAGCCGGAAGGACGCCGTCATCGACTTCTGCCTGGGCTCCCGCACCCTCTCCTCCACCCCTATCCGCTTCTGGTACGGCTCTCACTCTCACACCCCGCGCGTTTGCGAATTATTTTGGCCTTCGTGCGCGCAATGCGGTTAGGAGAAGTCGTGATCTGTAGAATGCCCCTAAACAGGAGCAATGTGGATTCCCATCACTGAAAATTTTCACTTGTGGATTGCGTTTTTCTCCTGAGAGTCGCACGCCCACAGTCCTGCACCTGTGGAAAATCATTTCAGTGGACTATATCATTTGCGATATACTTCATCGTTTGGTCATAGCGAGTAGATGGGGTTGATTTTCTAGCTCAAGCACCTGAAAAGTTTGTCACTGTACTCACTGTTTCCATAAAGGAGTATAGTGTACGCGTTTATTGGACCCTTGTGTTTGTATCATGCTCCTACTATTTAAGTTGTTTTGTGGAGGGAGTGAAAGCTTCACCTGAAAAGTATGTAATAGGAGGTTGAAATCGACCAAGGCTTTTGTTCCCACAGAGCTAAGCAACGTACTTGCAATTGATGCTACATGGTTTTCTTCCGAGGAAATTTGAATGCTAGGATAAATCCCCCTTATCTTTGAGGGGGGGGGGGGGGATAAATCCTTTTGTATAAATCCTAAACTAAAATCTAACAAATGAAACTCCTGTTAGACATTTTCCACCTTTAGCCCTTTAATTCTCTTCTTTAGCACCCCTGATGATTGCAGAATCTGTTTTCAGGACCATGCATGTGGTGGATAATTGTACTGTACAGTTAATACAAAAAAGCCATGGAGAAGGTAGGTGCTAAAACCTTTTAAGTGTTCTCTTCTTTGACACTATGTTATTACATGCTTCTTTGGCTTTGTGCTCTCTGTTCTTTTCTTTGCATGAAGCTAACAGCTCTGTAATTTCAGATGTTGTAGTCAGAGACTTGGAAACTCCGTTATCTCTTCAGCCCTGCCCACCAGCGGTTATTCTTGTCTGTACACTTCTCATCTCTGTTTGGTACTATTTTTGTTTTCATATTGTCTGACAGTAGGATACCATGTAGTTGTCAGCTATAAGGCTATATGACTAACTGTCATGGTCAAGTAATGTCCTTAGTTTTTGAGGGTGGTCATTTATCAGAAAGATCAACTTGTGTGAAGTGTCAAGGGTTTTGACCAAAGTTTTTACAACCACTGTCATCTGAGTCTGACTGATGCTAACATAGAACTATGCAATTTTAACATGCTATCGATTTTGTTAGCCAAACTGAGCTCATGTATATTACTTACATGATTCCCTTCTTTAGGTTGCAAGTGCAGGACAGGATGCTGACCATATTACTGCGATGGAGCTCCTTAGTGAAGTGAAATCTGCTGGTAAGCTGGCTGCATCAATATTTTTGAAGCCCTTTTGTTTTGAGGGACAGAGACGACAATTAGAGGTGGGATACTTCTGTTGTAAAAGTTGAGTTTATTTTCTTGGTCTATGAGTTACTTCCTGTCACCTACTTAAAAAACGTATGACTGTATATTAAGTTTAAGATGTCTATTTGTTTTTTTGGATTTGCTTCTTACAAACAATTATGGTTCTGCAGGCAACTGATTTAATTGACAAACTTCAAATGTGCTCAAACTTTCACATTGGTAATGCGTGTTATCTTAAATTTTTAACTTCAAATATATAGCTTATTTTTCCATTAGAGCATAAATAAAATATATATACTTTGAAGAAGTAAGCTTTTCACTTCTTCCAGTATGAACCGTATGCTCTTTGCTTCATTTTGGATCTTGGTTGAGTGAATCATTACACCTTTTGCTGATTTCCTCCTAGGTAGAACCAGTGTAAAATTAGGAAGATCAAATTTTATTGTACATATGCTATATCCTTTGTACCACAGATTATACATTTTGCATCAAGAGTTGCAAAATGTCATTGAGTCTGCTACTCTCTGTTCACACATCTCTGTATGATTAGTCCTATTAAAGAGGCCCTGGTTGAAGCCTATCCATAAACTAAGATAACTGCTAGGATTGCCTCTCTTGAATCTAGATGGTGTTCTAAGGTAACTGAGTTCCTGTATAGATCTCATAGGTCATGATTCAACAAAGCTGAAGAGTATTGAAGTTTCTTATTTCAAAGAACTGAGGAAGCATTGCGTCTTGGTTCATGCAATTATCAAGTGTTGTTGAATTGTCCACTCCTTTCCACCATGATTTGAAATGTTAACATGAGACGAAATCGATAATCTTTTGGCAATTTATAATAACATTTGCTGATTTGTGTACAACTTAAAGTCAAGAGGATGAAATCATGGGCTGGCCTTATTATTAGCTAAGTGATTTATTTGTTTCCAGTGCAATTTCACCAGATAATAATGCATTTCCCCCCTACACAGTTATTGAAGCTGATTCACTGCTTGAGACAGAAGTGGAAACCCTTGCTGAAGCTCTGGAAAGTGCCAACAACGCTGTTCTGTCAACTATTAGCATGATATCTATCATGATGTCTGTGAGTCTTAAATCCCTTATTTTTTGTGTTTGTATACAAAGGATCACATTTTACTGTTTTAATCCTATTATTCTTGAATACCAGGGGTTAAATCAGACGTTCCGGAGTTCGATTAATGCTCAAATTATGGAAGTCCATCCTGATGAACTAGGACAAGTAACCTCATGAATATCTTTACTGCTTAGTTGTATGATCTGCACTTATCTTTTTCCTGATACATACAACTGTAACAGCTACTCAGAAGTTATGGAGAAGCCAGAATTGGATTTGGTGCTGGTTATAACATCCAGTCTGCAATTAAACAAGCCGTCTTCCACTGTCCGTTTCTTCGTGGTGGAATCAAGGTCCATATGATCATCTAATTTTAACTTTTAATCTTACATTGATGCTCACCCACTTTTTATCAAAAGAAACAGGAAATGGAATTTTAGTCTTGTGTTGATATCCTCATATACAAATTTACCTGTGCAAAACATCACAAATGCTATACATTTATACCTCTGCAAAAATGTTGTTGTAACCAACAAATTTCAGACTTTAGAACCATCAAATTTCAAGTGTGTGGCCACTTGGCCAGCTAACCTGCATAAGATGATTGCTTACATATTTTGGTAACTATAAGTTGGGCTGTTGATATTTATTTCTTATAATTAATAAGTACATCCAACGAAAGTAAGCAACTACGCTGCACACAAGAAATAGATTCATAATACAGTGGACATAATTTCTCATGACTGCACTACATAAGAGACAGATCCTTGGAGATTCATGGCTTTTTAACACTAGTATTTTTGAGATATTCACAAATGCATGGGACACTGTAAACTTCAAAGCTTGTAGAAAAACCACTAAGAATCTATTTAGTTGCATTTATTCAATATATTAGAGATCTCAGATCTGATACTGAATACTCCTAGTGTCTATGAAGTTTGGTTGTCTTCATTACAAGCTGTAGTAAAGGTCGAATTTGAACATAATTTTTAGCTGCGTACCTCCACCTTCTTTTGGAACAATTGCGCTTTGCATCTCAAGTGGTCACTTATGCAACATCTTTTTGCTATGATGTTGACATTTTTATATACGAGAAAAAAACACGAATATAAGTAGACTTCAAGCATGTAGAAACCTGTCTTCTGAACTCTTTCACTCTAGAGTTAACTTTAATTAGTTTTTTATACAGAAATCACATTCCTGCTTGCAACGTAAGCTCTTTATGCATTCATTTTATGTTTTATATCATTGTTCTGAGTGTATATATATATATATATTGGTGTAGGATCTGAACAATGTGGTTTTCCTCTCCATTACGAGTTCTCGAATATTTTCTGAAAGTGATATGGTCTCCACTTTGCACATTTTCCGTCGAGTTACAGGGTTCACTGAAGATATTATATTTTCCAGAAATTGTGAACCTGATTTAGAGCCAAAACTGATAGTAGTTTCTCTCTTAACTGTGAGGTAAGCACTGGCAAAAATTTGAATGGTTGGTTTGCTGGTTTTAATGCTTTGGCTGTGAACTACATCTAGTCATGCCTCTCTATTTGTGTATCATGCTCTGCTGATTTTCTATCGTCCATCTTATCTTGTAAGTCAATATAATTACAAAGAGAATTTCTTGACTACCTGATGGGAACAGGAATAGCAACCTGTGAATATGTTAATAAATAGCAGTTGTAGTCTTAAGAAAACAGGAATCTGCATATCTCTCAGTTATACATAGAAAGATAATGCATAACTGCTCTACTTGTGCCTTGCTCATTAGTTGGTAATTGCTGCTAACACTTGTTGGCGAAAATGTGCTCAAATTTTTGTTTTCCAGAAACAGTACTGATGAGAACGTGGCATCTGTCAAGGAGGGGTTTCTTTCAGGTTTGGCCTTGCATTTTCCTTTTATATCCTCTCTTATGGGAGGAGATATCCCTGAACAGAAACAAGCTACGTTGAAGCATTCATACAGTAAACTGCCTAGCAATGGATTGAGTTTGGCAGAGCAGGAATTCTCACGACTTTCCAGTGCTTTTACCAATGTTGTTGTTAATAATTTATTTCCTGAGGAAACAGACATCATGAAATCTGAAAGGTAATGGATGTAGTAAGTTCCCTTCTTGTATCGAGAAGTTACTTTTTTAAAAGAAAAAAAACTTTAGGGTGTTATGAACCAAGCAATACTCATTGCAATTCTGTCTAGGGAATCTAAAGAGAAAACACAGACACAATCTCAAGAGGCTAAGATTGAACCTGATGGGGAAATTAGCAAAGATAGGGAAAGAGGTAAAATTCCGTATACCATGTTTTCCATCTTTTTGTTTGTGTGCGTGTGCTTGTTTCTTTTCTAACTTGATGGTTCATTGGCAGAGCATTTAGATTCAGAGCAGGAGCATAAGTTCTGGAGCAATTCCCCTGGTATTGGCATTGCTCAATTATGGGCTAAAGTGCGTATGGCATCAGATGGAGGAACACAGAACAATGACATCAATATTATCACTCTTCCAGTTGGTGTGAAATCTCCTGAAGTTCAGTGTGGTGCAGATACACGACCTGAAGCTCATAGTGGTTCCAGCAGCACATCTGCAGCTTCTGGACATGCTGCTTTTGGAGTATCATTTTCTGACATTGGCTTGGAGAAAGTAACAGAGATGTACAGCTCTGCAATGACATTTTTAAAGGGGGGAATGGATAGATCTCGAAAGCGCGGATCAGTTGCTAATCGTGCTGCGCTAATGCTGGTTAGTCTCTCTTGATTTTCTGTATATTGGTTTATCATTTTTCAACGCTAGTCTGGGTTATCTTGCTGGGACTGTCTTTTCTCTATATGGACAACATTCCCCAATGATGACGTTGAAGATAAACACTCACAATTTAGTTATAATTCTGTATTCCATCAAAGTTTGCTAAATTGGTGACCTGGTTTTTGGTAATCTGAAATTGGATTGTTCTGCTGCAAAGCCAGCCATCTATTGTCCACTTCAACTACTCATCATGTTTAACAGCTTCCCTCACAAGTTTGTACCATTATTCATGTGAGGTGTGGGTTTGCTGGCTCATTAATTTTTTTGTTTCCTGTGCTACTAAGATGGGCTTTCTATTTAGTTATTCATCTGGGAGATAGACGAGGGCCATTGTGCTAAGACTTGCTTATCTTTATCTGTTTCATGAGTTATTGAACAACCGGAATAGACACATTAAACTTAATATTTATCTTTATTTTTGAACTTCTGTTTCTAATGGGTGAAATGACTTCCCTCTTTTTTCTCCCAGTCCAGAGTGCAGTTGGGTCTTTTTGTACTGTTAGATAACACACAAGAGAATTGGCATACACGAACTCTGGTTTCCTCTAAAATTATTAGCATTATCGTGTTGTTTTACAAAACCTATTGTTATCCATGTAGGATGCAGAAAGAGAGCTGGAGAAAACATGGAGCCCCATAGTTGAGATACAGTTTGGAGGAGGAATTTACAGAGGGAGGTGTCAAGAAGGTGTCCCTGAAGGAAAGGTGAATCCATGTAAACTAAGTGCTCTTCCATTTGGCTTGACAGGAAATTAAGTAACTAACCCTTCAATGGTATTTTTTTTCGTAAAATTTACAGGGTCGCATAACCTTCAGCGACGGTAGCTTTTACGATGGACTCTGGAGGTATGGCAAGAGATCAGGTCTAGGGACACTCTATTACAGTAATGGTGATGTATTCCATGGAACATGGAGGGATGACCTTTTTCATGGAAAGGTATGGTATACTTTGTATTTGAATATGACAATTATGAGATGTCCATGTTAGGTATGGCTTCTCCCATTTACAGCATTCTTTAAAACATGATGATTAGCTCAGCACCTTCTTTGTTGGGTAATGTTCTTGCCACTGATGTTTATTTTAACATACTATTCTTTAAATGACGGTAGTCAACCTTCCTTTCGAGATATGAAGATAAACTTGCTTTAATGTGGTAATTTGGATTTATTTGTTACCAAAGGATTTGTATTTTCCTTTTGATTTCCTTTGTGTAGCTAATCTTCCTGCATTTATTTCCTTTTGTTTTATAGATGATCACTTTGTATAACTAAAAAGTGCACAGTGTTGTACTGTTCAAACATTACTTCTTTCTGTTCTGTTGTGATTAGGACATTAGGTGTTATGATTCTTTATACTGTTAGGGTTCTCAATTCTGTATTGATGAATTTTGATCCTTTATTTGGTACACTGAATTGCTGCCAAGAGGATAAGTACTTCCTCCGTCCCAATATATAATAACCTTAGTAATGGATGGGACACATCCTAATACAACGAATCTGGACAACCCTGTCCAGATTCGTTGTATTAGGATGTGTCTCATCCGGTACAAGGTTGCTATATTTTGGGACGGAGGGAGTAGGTAACGCTCTTTCCTTTATTGTAAACTTAACCTCCATCACTCCCATGTAATTTATGGCTCTTTTCCTCCCTACCTTCCTGAGTTCTCCTTCCTTTGGTTCTCCTGCCTTTATTGGGCTATGATGATAGTATTACATGAACTAGCACAGTGATCCACTCATACTCATTTATACCCAGTCCATGCGCTTATGAACCATTGCATTCAGGTCCTGTTCATTGAGTAGTTTTTCGCATTGAAAAATCATATATTCTGATTGTAAAATCCCAGTAACTCTCCAGAACATTTCATACAGATGTTTTGATGGCAACCTTCGCATTAAATTCAGAACATGTATATTCATATTAGATTTAATAATATCACACTTTATAAATTGTTGTGTTCCATGTGAAGTTCTGAGTTTTCTCCCCTTTCATTTAGGGCTGGTATTATTTTCACAGTGGTGACCGCTGGTTTGCAAACTTTTGGAAGGGGAGGGCTAATGGTGAGGGTAGATTTTATGCCAAAGATGGGAGTGTCTTCTTTGGCAATTTTCAAAATGGATGGCGCCATGGGGAGGCCCTGTTGATAGATGCAAATGGATCGAGGTTGTCATCTACTCGTGTTTACGTGTTTTCCTGAACAATTACATCTGCATATTCTTTTTAAATTAACCTTACTATGAACCATGGCTACAGGTGGATTGAAGTTTGGGATGATGGTGTACTTATTGGTCAAACTAGGTTGGAAAAATAGGGCTCCAAACTATTTCCCATACTTTATTGGTAAAGTTGTACACTTGTACTACACATAAGTTGGAGTACTGCATTGTAGCAAGTGCCACGACCACAATACGTTCCGCAACTCCGGTATGTACCTCCGTTGCACTGAAGTACTTCATTGTTTGATGGATATACTCATGCATGCTTCAACTTTCACCGAGACACCCAACGATGATCCTTGTGTATTGTCACTTTCTTTTGCAGATTGTACATAGATGCCTGTTGGAAGCACTGTTGTAGAGTTGAAGCTAGTTTCTGAAAGCTGCGTTAGTCATTGATGAAATTTTTGACGCAAAGTCATTGGTGAATTGTGTATATAATCCCAAGAAGAATGGGATGAAGCTTTCTTCTTCATACCGTGGATGTGGAAATCAGGGAAAAGTCACACAACTGCATCAAGCATATGCTACATGAAGTAGGTTTGATTGATTTCATTTATGGCCGCTAGATATTCTTTGATTGGACTCAATGCATGGATGAACAAGCTCTCGTGGCTTTGCCCCCTCAATTCCAGCTGAGTATGTGATTTTCCACATATGGGGTCCCACAGCACCCTTCCCTTCTCTGTTTCCTGTCACCGTCAGTATCACCCACACATTCTGTTCTAGTGATGATTATGCATTTTAAGTTTGTTTACTTTCACATGATTCAATCAATAGATTCACACTAATTCGAAGTTTGAAGCAGAACTTGCTAATGGATCTAGTGCTTAGTGTTGCCGTTCATTCAATTTGAGCTGTTCGAATAATCGGTGATTGGGTTGTTAAATCCTTAACTGGCAAGCTTGACATGCAATCTGTTATTGCTCCAGATGGTGGTAAAAGTTGCAACCCATCAGATAGTATTTAACATTTTCACAGCCTATACTTAACCCAAGACCCAAGTACCCAGCTGAAGACTGAACCGCCCAATCTATCTACTAGAAAAGGTCACTTGCTCACTTAGGTATAAAGAAAGTAAACTTGCTCACTTGCTCACCTTCTTGGCCAGATGATACCGGCATCTACAATATTCCTCCTCTTGTTTCAACCATTCTGGCCGAAATGACAAGAGATACTTGCACAGAGCTAGGAGCCCAGTATTATACTTCCTGAAGTCGATTGATTTCAACTAGAATTTCATATTGTTAGTACAGGACAGAAGTCAGATATCAATGAGCTCATGTGTGATTGCCTCACCCATCATGTGGCCGTTTACCGTGGCTGCGATTCCCGTGTAAACAAATGACACGTGAGATGCCTGAATGGGGGGCAAAAATATAATGTGGCCATCCAAGTATCCAATCGCACGTTGACGCATAAACATTTGGCCGACCAGTGGAGGAAAGTAGGAAACCATCGCGAGCAAATGGCAGCCTGCCATTGGGCTAGCCTCTTAAATATACCAATGATGGACGGACTCAACCCAGTTGCATTTTTTGCGTTTAGTGCTGTGCCCTGTGCATGCTGCACTGCTCAAAGCTAGCCGAGTAGCCGGTCATTGCCATGCTCATTCACACCTGTGCCCATTTTAGTTTAAGATTATTGAACCAACTATTGTCGCATACTACCTCCGATTTTTAATAGATGACGCCGTTAACTTTTTCTTATATTTTTGACCATTCGTCTTATTCAAAAATTTTATGCAAATATATAAGATATAAATTACACTTAAAGTACTATGAGTGATAAAACAACTCATAACAAAATAAATTATAATTACATAAATTTTTTGAATAAGACGAATGGTCAAACATGTGAAAAAAAGTCAACGACGTCATTTATTAAAAAACGGAGGTAGTATTATCGGTTTCATTGTGTAAATAAATTAAATATTTTTTTTCAAAAAACAAGTGTTCTAATCAATGTGACAGAAGAAATAAACTATTTTGACAAAACGTATTTTTTTTTGAAAGGTAGAGAGTATTTCTTGAAATGTGGAGAAAATAATATGTACGAGTAATCTGGTGAGTAAAGTTGAAAATAACGTGGCCTGGTTTGGTTGCAGAAATAGAAGTGTAAGTTGCAGTCACGGTCACGTTATCCTGCCGCCGAGTGCAGCATGCTGCGCGACAACGAGGGACCGAACACGCGGAAAATGCTGTGGTTGCTCGCGTCGCGCCTTCCCGCGCTTGCTCCCTCACGTTCACGTACTACGTTCGTCGTTCCTCACACCCCCACCGCATCCGCACGCCGATGCCGTGCGCGCGCCGCACCCGCGTCGCGGGTGGAGCCGGCCGGCCACCACACAAGTACTACGTACGTACGTCGGGTGGGGCGCGCGACGTGCCGGCACGCGGCGCGGTTGGGCGGGAGCTCGTGCGTAAGCGAGCACCCGCGCGACAGCGGCGGCGACCGAGGAAATGAATGAGATCGAGCGCAACAACGACGGCCACCGCGGGTTATTAGGGTTGGGTGGGGAGGCCACCACAGTCTGGTCTACGGGCCAATCATAGCGCGGGAGGGCCCACACTGGCCGATCGACATGGGTGGGCCCACTCTCCTCGCGCCCCCACCACGTGTCCCCGAGACTCCCCCAGTCGTGGGTCGGTGACATGTGGGACCCAGCACAGATGAGTGCATTGGTAGTTTGGTCGGTGAATTTTTAATTAATCTCTCAAGTCTCAACTGTACTGACGTGCATGTTTGGACAAATCTTGATACTCCTATGTGAGAACAATCTTGCGATGAATTTTGCTCGCCTTTGTACGAGGTAAGTACTTGTACAGTTGTACTAGATGAAGAGTGTGCAGCTCCTCAGGTCAAGTAAATGTCTAGTTTCCTCGCAAAAAAAAAAAAAGAGTAAATGTCTAGTTTAATCGCTCCTGGACTAGCATGTGTCGAGTAGTATGTATCCATGTATACGACTCTTGGTCTTGGTGAAGTAAGAATGCCAAGCACATCGTGGTTTAATTTGTTGTTCAGCCGAGTACAGTAGTCGTGTAGGATGAGAAAGAGACCGTCATGAAACAGAACGATACTGGGTGACTGGTTGTGCGATTGTGTTTGTGAAAGTGTGTCTAGCTGGTTTCTGTAGGATGATGCGCCATAGACCATATCGCACCAACATCAGACAATAATATGCTGCACAAAGTGCATATGCCACTTCTTGCTTGATACTATCTCCATCCTAAAATAAATTCATTTTTCACACATCTCGCACATACCATAAAAAAAATCAAAATATCTCTACTTTATCAAATTCCAATGTAATTATTTCACACTTTAGCTACTCCCAATATAATTATTTTCTATTTTCACAAACTCAGATAAAATAATTACTCGAAAAATAAACTTATTTTGAACAAATGTAAAAAAAAATTATCATGGGACATAGTAGTAGGGAACTGCTTTAGCAGCTCGAGTGGACGTCCACCCGTTTATTGCATGTCATCTAAATGTTTTATGAAAAAATTAAAAAAATATGAACAATATGTAATATATCAATCTACAAACATATTAGTTAAAATTTAACTTCTACAAATTGTAACAAAAATAACAAACAAAACTCAAATTACTATATGTATTAAATTTGTTATTTTTGTTATAACTTGTAGAAGTTAAATTTAAACTTGTATGTTTTTGAAGTGATATATTACATATTGATCTATCTTGTTATTTTTTAAAAAACTTTTCGTAACTACCTAGTTGACATACAATAAACGGGGGTGGACGTTACTCTAGCTATTAGAATCCATGTCCGAGCAGCAGTAGTAGTAGCTACCCTGCCTACTAGCTGACCAGTATCATTCTGGCACTTGTTCTCACGATGTCATCGATAAGGTTCACTTCACCTGCATGCCCAGCCAATGAGCCAGCAATCGCGTTGTTCCTGCTGCCGCGAAGAGCTGCAGGTGTAAGACTGCCACGTGTCCTCTCGCCTCCACATTACAAAACGGCCGCCAGGGAGCAACGAGCTTTGTGAGACTGTGAGCTAACTCCTGCAGCTAGCTGAAGAAGAAGAAGAAGAAGAAACCAGCGGCCAAGTACGTCGTCGTCGGCCATGATGTCCACCACCACCACCAGCAGCGCGGCGGGGTCGCCGGTGTGCGCTCGTCGGCGGCAACGCGTGTTCGTCGACGTGCCGAGGCGCCGGGCGACGTCGTTGGCCAGGGTCGAGTACGCGAAGATGGCGCCGCCGCCGCCGCCGCCGTGCTCCGTGCGCGCCGCGGGCTCCAATCCAATTGGCTGCCTCGAGGTAGCAGAGCCGTGGAGCGGCGCCGCGCCGCCCCCGCTGCCGCCGCTGCCGGGCCATCTGCATGTCGCGGCGCCGGCGGCGGAGGACGACGACGACGCGCTCGCCGCCGCCGCCGCCGCCGTGCCGTCCGAGCAGAGGGTGCACGACGTCGTTCTGAAGCAAGCGGCGCTCGCCGCGGCAGCGCCCGAGATGCGGAGGCCGGCGCAGTTGGCCGAGAGGGAGCGCGTCGCCGGCGGCCTGAACGCCGCCTTCGATCGCTGCGGCGAGGTCTGCAAGGAGTACGCCAAGACATTCTACCTCGGTAAAAAAAAATTTCTACCATCCTCTGTGCCTCTATCGATCCGATTTGATCACAGTCAAAACAGCAAGAGTAAAAGAGCGTGTTAAGTAGAAAATAAGGCCGAGTTTAGTTCTAATTTTTTTCTTTAAACTCTTTCAACATTTACATCACATCTAAATTTTTCTACCCACATAAAATTTTAACTTTTCCATCACATCATTTTAATTTCAATTAAACTTCTAATTTAACGTGAGCTAAACACACCCTAACTAAAAAATTCCAAACGAGTATAGAGCACGATATGATCATGGGTGATTGTCTAAGTGATAATGAGTCAGACAGAGAGTAGTAAAAACGAGCTCAGCTGCAACAGCAGGACCGTTCCACGCTACGCTGTCAGACGCAACAGTAGAACTGACGAGCGGTAACAAAGGACTCACCCTTTTCTTATGTTTATACTTATCAGCTAAATTTTAAATTTTTAAACTTAAATTTAAAGCAAATTTTTAACCTTAAATTTAAAGCTGATTTTAAGGTTTTTTTCATCAAAGTTTATTTTTCAGCTTTTGTTTTTAAATCGTTAAGAACACGTATATAAAAATTTTATTCACAAATTATTTTCGTTTGTAAATACGTCGTTTCGCTTATTCACGGCCGTTTTGCTTATTCCGAGAAACGATAGCTCCGTGATACTACAATTAACTTATTAATGGCTCCTGGCACATGTGTTACTACACTAATTAAGTTTCTGAAACAATTTATTTGATGAATTGTGTGTCTGCTGCAGCGACGCAGCTGATGACGCCGGAGAGGAGGAGGGCAATCTGGGCGATATACGGTACTACGTATAAAAGATAATAGCTTCCAACTTCCATATTGATGCCATTCAACGATGTGGCTGACGATTGATTGGTTGTTGGTTGATCGATCAGTGTGGTGCAGGCGAACGGACGAGCTGGTGGATGGGCCCAACGCGTCGCACATGTCGGCGCTGGCTCTCGACCGGTGGGAGTCGCGGCTGGACGACATCTTCGCCGGCCGCCCCTACGACATGCTCGACGCCGCCCTCTCCCACACCGTCGCCACCTTCCCCGTCGACATCCAGGCAAGCACAACAAACACAATGAAAAGCCAAGAGTATTCTCAGTACGGTTATATCAGCTTTATTATTATGTAATTAATTAGCTAAGTCCAATAAAATTTTCATTATCTAAAGATTAATTACAAACACCATGAAATCCGTGGCTGTTCTTGGCTTGAAATCAAACATGGCGCCCCATCGTTTCACTTATTCGTCGAATAAACCAAACGGCATATTAGCAAACGAAAAGTAATTTGTGAATAAAACTTTTATACATGTGTTCTTGGTGATCTAAAAGTAAAAATAAAGACTGAAAAATAAACTTCGATGAAAAATCTTAAAATCAGCTATAAATTTAATGTTAAAAATTTAAATTTTGGCTAATAAGCATAAGAAAAAAATGGCGTGTTCATATAGCTCCGTGTGTACAGCCGTTCAGGGACATGATCGAGGGGATGCGATTGGACCTAACGAAGTCGAGGTACAGGAGCTTCGACGAGCTCTACCTCTACTGCTACTACGTCGCCGGAACGGTCGGGCTCATGACGGTGCCGGTCATGGGCATCTCGCCGGACTCGAGGGCCAACACCGAGACCGTCTACAAGGGGGCACTGGCTCTCGGCCTCGCCAACCAGCTCACCAACATTCTCAGGGACGTCGGCGAGGAGTAAGCTAAGCTTCAGAGATCATCATCTATGCGATTATTTCTTGATTAGTTACAGCCATCTCTAATGGGTCCTGATATATGCTTGTTAATTTGCAGTGCAAGAAGAGGCAGGATCTATCTCCCAATGGACGAGCTCGAGATGGCCGGACTCTCTGAAGATGACATCTTCGACGGCCGCGTCACGGACAGATGGAGATGTTTTATGAGGGATCAGATCACGAGAGCGAGGGCGTTTTTCAGACAGGCCGAAGAAGGCGCCAGCGAGCTCAATCAGGAGAGCCGATGGCCGGTGAGAAATGACAACTACATATCCTTTAAAATTTCCATCTGAACATTCTTAATTATGTTAAGTTGGTTCACACGTATGAATGACCATTAGGTTGTTGTTGCAGGTTTGGGCTTCTCTACTTCTGTACCGACAAATCCTTGACGAGATCGAGGCCAACGATTACAACAACTTCACCAAGAGGGCCTACGTCCCAAAGGCAAAGAAGATTGTGGCTCTGCCTAAAGCTTACTACAGATCACTCATGCTCCCCTCTTCAGTGAGGCACTGCTCTAGCCTAACATCATCATGATCAGCTTGTGGTATTGTTGTTACAATTTATCTTGTATTCAAGTCTTGCAATGTACAAAGTATTGCAGTATCTGCAAATATATGTACACTTTAACATTGTGTATATATAGGGAAGTTTCTATGAAACAGAGTAGTGTATATATGACCATATTTCATAGGTCATACTACTCTTGCATAATGCTGTCAGCTTATCACTCATTGCTTCAGTCAATCAGCTAGGTTGTGAAAGTACCTAACTATCTATATGAAATATTAGTCTTATCAGCATGGATGTAAGATGGGTATGTACCCCCACAAAGATTTCCAATCTATTAGTCAAAAACAGCAACGTTTTTTTTATAGAACATTGGTGTACAGGTGTCACCTTTTTATGAAGGATCATTAGCATGAGCTCAGCAAAATCTTGAACCTGTCACTACTAAATTCAGTTTATGCTAATAAAAAGAATAATTAAAGTAGCTGGTAGTTAACTAGTCACTATATCTAGCAGTGCACAAGTAGTAGTTTAACTTGTATACCAGCTTGGCTACATGCCTATTATAGCATAAGGTCACATGAATCTTGTTGGAACATTGCGTGCTTCTTTCTCCCAGCTTTTCTTTTTGTTTGACCTGTTGAAGAGGGGAGAGATCGCGTACCTGTTCTTCTTTCAGTTGAACTGAAAATTGTTTATGCGTTCTGCGTGGAGGATAGCAAACCAGAGATCTTGTGCCCGTCATATTCAGATGATATACTACATTATCTGAAGTCTGGATGCCGGTGCCGAGCTGTACGTGTTGTGATGCACACCGTCGGCCGCCATTGTTTATGCGCTCATAACGCACCAAGAAACTCTGATTGAGATCGATCACTGTTGGTTCCCTTGTTGCTGTAATAATACTGTGCATAATGGAATCTTCTGGGACACTGCCAGCAACCTGCAGAATACTGCACACATCTGCTGCTCGGCGGACTGCACACAAGCCGAAATCATCTTGGTTCTTGGAAGGGGTTGGGAATGGACCATGATGCAGTGAGCACAATACAGTTTGGAGTTTATGATAAGATGAATCATGTTCTACACAATGGAATTATTTATGGACATAGTTAAGCTTACACGTTCGTAACTGTACTAACATACCTGTACCAAGCAAGCCATTTACAGATACACTTACACGCAGTGGAGTCCTCAGGGGAATTTCGCCGAACACATGGCGTGCGCGCCCCACCTCCTCCACCCATCCACCTTTGGTCTCATCTCCAATTCTGTTCAGATTACAGACGAACACACACAAGCTGATCCGCATTGATCGGATTATTGGGAACCATGGATGATTATTTCTAGCTACTAGTTTTGCTTCTTGGAGTTGATGTAGTCCTGGAGGGCTTCCATCTGCTCCTTGGTCGGCGGCTGCTCGTTGTTCTTGATCGACCGGTGCACGTCGTACGTCGTCGCCCCGAGGAACACGACCCTACAAAAATCACACACCGCGTCATGCCGCCGCCGCCGCCGACGAGGAGAATCGAGGCCGGAGGATGCAAGGCGGCGCCACCTACCCTGCGGCGAGCAGCGCCACCTGCCTCGGGAAGACGTGCTTGCCCAACACCCTCATCCTCCTGCCTCCGCCTGCGTGGCCGCGTCTTCTCTTCTCGCTTTCCCCTCTCTCGATCTCTCCATATGCGCGAGCAGGTGAAAGCCCATGGGCCTTTCCTCTAGCTTGGCCCGGCCCGTTGGGAGGTTGCGCTTCGAGTCTCCTCTCCGATGCTCGCGCCATCGGCCGGCGGCGCCTCCTCCGCCCGCCATGTTCGGGAGCTCCTGCGGCGGTGCGGCTCCGTGCACCGTCTCAACCAGCTCCACGCCCACCTCGTCGTCCACGGCGTGGACGACGTCACCTCTCAGATCCTCGCGTCCTACTGCGCGCTACCGGCTGGTGGTGGGGTGTGGTATGCCCGCCAACTGTTCGACAGAATTCCTGATCCGGACAGGTTCGTTTACAACAGTCTTATCAGAGCCTACTGCAATAGCCATTGCCCCCAAGAAGCGCTGCCTCTTCTTCGTGGCATGATCCGGCGAGGCATCCTGCCGAACGAGTTCACGCTGCCATTCCTCCTCAAGGCGTGCGCGAGGGTACAGGCGTGGGAGCATGTGATGGTCACCCATGGCGTGGTTGTTAAGCTGGGATTTGTGGGGCAGGTGTTTGTGGGGAATGCTCTTCTGCATTCTTATGCTTCGGCCGGGTCACTGGGGGATTCTCGCCGGTTCTTTGATGAGATGGTGGACAGGAATGTGGTGTCATGGAACTCAATGATCAACGGATATGCGCAGGCTGGAAATACTAGGGAGGCGTGCTCCTTGTTTGAGGGGATGAGACGTCAGGGACTCTTGGCTGATGAGTTCACGCTGGTCAGCCTGCTTTTTGCCTGCTCAGCGGAGGGAAATCTTGAATTTGGTAAGCTTGTGCACTCTCATTTGCTGGTTAGAGGATGTCGGATTGATTTGATCCTTGCCAATGCTTTGGTGGACATGTATGGTAAGTGTGGGGATTTGTTGATGGCTCATACATGCTTTGACATGATGCCCTTCAAGAATGCTGTTTCATGGACATCTATGCTTTGTGCTCTGGCCAAACGTGCGTCTATTGATGCCGCAAGAGATTGGTTTGAACAGATACCAGAGAAGAGCATAATATCTTGGAATGCCATGATCTCTTGCTATGTTCAAGGTGGCCGATTCCATGAAGCGCTGGATCTTTATAACCGTATGAAATTGCTAGGCCTCGCTCCAGACGAGTTTACCTTGGCTGCTGTCCTCTCTGCCTGTGGGCAACTTGGCGATTTGGCTTCTGGAAAGATGATACATGACTGTATCAGAGATAACTTCCATAATCCAGGTGTTGCTCTATTTAATTCACTTCTTGACATGTATGCAAGGTGTGGTCAGGTAGACACTGCCATAAGCTTGTTCAGTGAAATGCCTAGTAAAAATGTTATCTCATGGAATGCGATTATTGGGGCGCTAGCGATGCATGGACGTGCACAGGATGCACTAATGTTCTTCAGATCTATGGTATTTGATGCCTTCCCCCCTGATGAGATAACCTTTGTTGCTCTTCTTTCTGCATGTAACCATGGGGGCCTACTGGAAGCTGGACAATATTACTTTCAAGCTATGAGACATGTTTACAATGTTAAGCCTGGCGTTGAGCATTATGCCTGCATGGTTGATCTGCTTGGCCGTGGTGGCCAGCTAGCAAAGGCTGTTGATCTGATCAAAGACATGCCAATGAGGCCTGATGTTGTGGTTTGGGGTGCGTTACTAGGAGCCTGCAGGATCCATGGACATATACAGATCGGCAAGCAAGTAATCAAACAATTACTTGAGCTGGAGGGAATGAGTGGAGGCCTGTTCGTCCTAATTTCAAACATGCTTTATGAAACTCACCAGTGGGAAGACATGAAAAGGCTCAGGAAGCTAATGAGAGAGTGGGGCATGAAAAAGAATATGGGTGTTAGTTCAATTGAAACAAACAGTAACATTCATGAATCTGGAGCTGAAGGCATTGGACATGAGAGCTCAGACGACATGTATGTAGGGGATGATAGGTTGCCACATCATTTGGTCTTTCCAAATGCCTTGGCTGTGCCACCAGACCAACTAAATGTGGAAGAAAGAAAATCTATTCTAAAGACCTCCTAGAATCAATTAGAACCTTATGATGTAGAGTAAAGCACTATACCGAATCAAGATTGGTACTGTGAATGGTCTATGTCTTCTCAGGCAAACGTTCACCATCAAGTAGCTTGACTGTTGAAGCCTGAAGGTGAGTCTTGCTGAACAAACACATTCCGGGAAAATGCATCCAGGTTTATTTTGAAAAAAGAATTTGTAGACATATTGAGTTGCATGGTGTACTTTCAAAGAAAATGCAATAAAGGCTAAGTAATTATTTGTCGTTTTCAACATTCATCTGGCTTTGCTAATTTGCTCAGTTTCAGGTGTTCTGCAGATATCATGGTTTCATGGTTCACTGGACAGTCCACTCAACCATCATCAGTACAGATAGTTAGGTGAGTAGCATTACATCTAAAACCCTCAGTAGTCGCTGCCTTCGCTGTGATGTCTCAACAGTACTGTGATTTGCGGGAAACTCAAGCTTGGAAACAGTCGATTCATCAGATTGGTAAGGACTAAGGAGTCCTAACTGGTAGTATGTCTGGAGATTGATCTGTCTACTTGAAGAATCGTTTATTTTGTTCATTCATGGGACCATCAGTTAGTTTGTTTGTGCTGGGACGGGGAGATATAGAATGAGAGTATGGGACACACCATATATGCACATATAGGACTTATCAAATATAGATCTATGCACTATTGCACCTGTACGTTTCATTTTGTGTCTTCTTCTGACTTACATCCTTGTTTCCACAAGCCCTAATATCTTCTTGTTTGATAGAACAACTGCAGGATGAGATCATAATCAAGCCTAGTACATTGATCAGCTCGTGATGCTTGTCACATCTCACATGGATTCCTACTGGTACATCAGTTAACCGGGTCCCTTCACTTCACAGCTTGCCGGTTTGAAGTGCAATAAAAGAGTGCCCCATGTGTTGTGCTTCGGCAGTTAAGCGCCGAGTCGACATGAGTTGCCACTGGAGCCACACCGCCGCATTATTATTGGTTATTGACCTCCACTGTGCTCAGTGTCCACGTCAAGCCAGCAGATCTTGGTTTCACAGGCATGTGGTTAGTTACTTCTTTCTTTATCTGCTGTTGCATTTTGCACGGGGATGAGATATATGTTCTGGGTGAACCTGATCCTGTAACGTACTATTCTTTAATTTTAAGTGAGTGACATGTGAGCCCCATAATCAACAGGTCCACATATCACTGACTAGAGGGCAGAATGTCCTAGGTAACTCATCCGTTCTGGATAGAGGGACACATTCCAACTGTTGTGATTTACTAGGGCCTTTTCTCTTTTTAGGCTAGGGGCCTTCTTATGAATGCTTGATCAACTATGAGTTGTATCTGGTTGAGTAATTATCAACTGCTACTACCAACTCCACCAGTATTTACCATTGATGATTGTTGCTGTAGGAGATAAACAAAGGGAGCAGCCAGCACCAACCAGAATGATCAAGATTCCGTTTTATTAATTTTCAAGTTTCATGGACAAACTACTACAGTGGTTCAGAGATATAAAAAGAACAAAACAGGCAGACAGATCTATACTGCCGTACACTTTGGCATGAGTGACAGGTCTGTCTTTTCCCTCCCTCACCTTTTCTTTTCTAAATACAGATATGCACGGACAATTCTTTTTTCGATCATAACACCAAAATGAGCACAGTTGCTCATTGAAAAGACGAAGCATCCAAATTTGTCCAAATCAACATTCACTTGTTAAATGGTGATTTTTAGACATGACAGAAATGCTGCATATGCCTCTCCCCAAGGACACAATTCAGAACCTGAAACAGGTCGACATCCTGTGATACCCTGCCCTGCACGCACAACATCCCAAAGCCCAACTACCGAATCTAATAGCATACTGTACAGCCTTGCAAAATCCATAATTGTGACGCAGAAATTGCTTCTCATGCCCGATTCTATGAAAGAAACCCACGGCCTCGCTGGAGAGCTACCAACCGAATGGAGTAATCATACCATTATAATCACACAGGCACAAGGTTTGTAATAGCTGCACCTTTGAAAGGGATTGGACAACTAATCCTCAACAAAAAGCCCAGCCAAAGTTGGTTACTTGAGCTATAGCTCCTGGACAAAAGTAACAAGCCAAGAACGAATGTGTCATCATCATCTAAATAAAATTGACAGTAAATTACATCAGTAGCATCATGAAAAGATCATGTCTTGTATGAAACCAAAACCAAATCGAAAGAACAGTACAACAGTATGGATAATCACAGCTATGGCTACAAGCAATGAAATGGCCGTACCAAAAGCTGCCTGTCCATTCAGGGAAATGGAGAACGAATCAGTGATGAGAAGATGAGAAGATGATGCCAAATGCCCAATTACACTAACACTGATGGTGATGTAAAAAAAATAAATGTAAGGTGTAATTACAGGTGCAGCACCGCCATGGATTTCAGCTTGCTGGACATGGCGTCGGCGTCCGCGGCGGCGTTGTTCCGCGCGAGCCGGCGCCACCGGTGGTCGTCGGTGTCCGAGACCCGGCACGCCGTCACGAAGTCGAGCACCTTGCCGAAGACCCTGAACATCTCCACGGCGTAGACGGTGTCCGCGCCGGCGGCGAACGCGGCGTTGAGGTCCATGGGCGCGTCGGGGTGCGACGACGCCTCGCCCCACCGGCGCGAGCCGAGGTCGAGCTCGAACAGCTTGCGCATCACCCTCTCCCGCCGGCTCGCCGAGCCGTTGCCGGCGCGGTCGCACCACGAGACGCAGAGCATCAGCAGCCGCGACGAGCAGCACAGCAGCGTCGGCGCGTAGTCGCGGAGCCGCGGCGGCGGGCGGGACGTCTGGATGACGGACCAGAAGCCCTTGTCGAGGTGGTAGGCGACGAGCGTGTCCGACTCGCAGTACACGTAGAACATCTGGCCACAGACGGCGCCGGAGCAGGCGAGCCCGACGTCGGCGGGGAAGCCGGCGATCTCGAACCACTTGTCCGTCACCGGATCATAGATCTCGCCGGACACCAGCGGCTCGTCCCAGCGCCCGCGCCCACCCACGGCGATGAGCGCGAGCCTTTGCTGAGCCCTCCTCTCCTCTTCTTGTCCGGCAACCTTGGCGTCAGTGGCAGCGAACTCCGAGGAATCGGCGTCGTCGTTCAGCACGTCCCGGAGCCGGAGGCGGCGGAGGGAAAGGCGGTGGGGGTCCTCGTACACGGCGGAGGTGCCACCCAGCCGGAACTTGCCGCCACCGGTGTTGGCGTGGCGGTGAACATGCTTGTCGGCGCGGGCGAGGAGAATGCTGCGGCTGATGGTCCCCATCTCGAACACCCCAAGCACCGACCGTGACCGCGCGCTCCGCATGGAAGCAGCCTTGCGCCACGCGCCGGCGAGAGGGCTGTACACGAGGACACCCTTGTGGGTCTTGGTCTTCACCGAGCCGGCGTCCCCTGACCGGCCGCCGACGACGTAGAGCTCGTCCCCGACGCCGGCGACGGAGAAGAGGAACCTCCCCCTGAGCCCGTCCGCCCCAACCCGGCGCCATCGCTGCGCGTCCACGTCGAGCGCGTGCACGGCCGTGGCGGCGGCGGTGGCGCCCCACCCGTCCCCCTCCACCCCGAAGAGGAACAGCCACGGCGTCCGATGCGGCCGCGCCTCCACGCGGCGCATCCGCATGAACTGCGGCGCGACGGTGAGGTCCCTCCACCGCCTGCACGCGCAGCGCGCGGCGAGGAGCGACGCCAGCGGGAGCCGGCCGAGCACCATCTCCATCAAGTCGTCAGGGAGAACCGACAGCGACGCCGCCGCCGCCTCCACCTCCTCCACCATCACCCTGTCACCATCCCCAACCCCCGACGTGCGGGCGGCGGCCGCCCCCTTCTTCCACGAGAAGCACTGCAGCGCGGCGGGCGGCACGGCCTCCTCCTCCTCCTCGTCGTCATCCTTCTCCTCCGGGGCACGTCGGCGCGGTGCCGCGGTGGCGGGGTCCATCTCGTCGCAGGCGCAGACGCGGCATCCCCCGGCTCCGACCCCGAGCGGCAGCCTGAGGCAGCTCCTCCTCCGCCGCCTCCTCCTCCTCCCCGGCCGCTTGGCGTCGTCCTGGTCGGCAATGGCGGCATTGGGCGGCGGGTCGGCGCGCAGCAGGGCGGCGAGGCTGTTGCTGCCAGATCTCTGTAGAGCTCGCGGCATGGGCGGCGCAGGCAGAGCGAGAAAGAGAGAGCTAGGTAGAGAAGAAGTGGTGGGTGGCGGAGGTGGGGGTGGGGAGGTGGAGGTTGAGGAGGATGGCGCGGAGGAGGGTGAGGAGGAGGTTGCCGAGCCACGAGATGGAGAGCATCGCGGCGGAGGCGAAGGATAACGCGAGGAGAAGAGAGAGAGAGAGAGAGAGAGGTTGGTGAGATGAGATGAGAGATCAGAGATGAGATGAGTTGGGGAAAGCTAGTAAAATATGCGGCGGTCGGCGCGATTCACGGGGCTTCTTCGGCGGATGATGCCCTTTTGCTTGCGTTGCGTTGCAGTCCGGCGGCTCGCGCGAGTGCGAGTGTGGCGTTTGTCGTTGGATCAGTTGCTGATTTGCTCTGGGGGGAGGCCAACATGCAGTGCAGGTCGTTGGTAGGGGTGCGTATAATGCGGGTTTGACTCGCCGGTTGCTTATTAATTTGACTTATAAATAAATCTAATGATCGATCCACTTACATATGTGGTAAATTAGATCACGCCTATAAATTATTATTTATTTGAACTATAAGTAAGTTCACAGGTCGACCTGCTTACATCTTAGTCATTGGGTTAGGGAAAGAGTGGTTGTGTACTCTATCCGTTTAAAAATAATATGTATATAAGGATATAGCGCAATATAGTATGTTCAGATTTATTGTATTAGATTAAGTCACATTCTTTTTTTTATAGAGAAAGGACTTCTACTTGTGTACCAGGTCCGATGATGGTATTGTTGTTGTTGGGTGACGAGGTCAACATGAAAGAAAGGGCGAAATGCGCTGGCCGGCTTTATTCGGGACGAGGGGATCACTGGCGTCACCGCCGTTCCGTGCTGTCCTGTTGGTTGTGCCCATATTGAGTAGTAATAGGTTCCCAAGAACCCAAGAAAACGTCCTAAGGTTTCATCAAGTACAACTGTGTATTAAGAAACTTTTGAAGCAAAGCTAGGTGGCTTGTAATGTTTTTTTTTGTTAACAAATTATTATGCCTTTCGGTCGAAATACGACATGAAACCATATGCGGGGATAGTAGGCATGAACTTCATATCGCCCTGTTCATCTGCATGGGTCGCGCAGGCAATACCTTGGATTGTTCACATACTACTTGCACGTACACGATTCCAGTTGAAATTGTTCCGTGCCTAGTACTACCTGCAATGCAGTCACCGGAAAATTTTGCATGCAGATCGGGTATTGGTGGACACCACGCAGTTGCCATTGCTGGGTCTATATGGCCTGGGCGCTTGGAACCAGTGGATGCAGAGGCAGACCTTGATGTGGCCAAGAGCCCAAGACCCAAGAGAGGCATTCAACCCAAGAGAGGCATTCACGGATACTACGGCTCCCTTTGAATCGCAGGATTAAGAAAACGTAGGAATAGAAAAACATAGAAATAGAAAAAACGTAAAATTTTAATAGAAATGTAAGTGTAAAACAGAGGATTGCAAAACACATGAAAAACACAGGAATAACCGTTTGATTGAACCGCAGGAAAAACACAGGAATTGGATGAGAGAGATAGACTCAAAGGAAAGTTACCAAGAGGTTGAAACTCATGCTAAATTTCCTCTAAAATATCTATAGGGTTGTTCATTTCATAGGAATTTCAAAGGATTGGATATGATTCAATCCTTTGTTTCAAAGGGCTTCATACGAAATTATCCTATAAGTTTGAAATCCTCCAAAATTCCAATATTTTTCCTTCAAATCAAAGGGGCCCTACATCTCACCCAGTTAATGCCCCTCTTTAAAAAGATTAACACATAAAAAATGCCCCTCCGGTAATTGAACCACCAAAATTTTGGAGTTCTCATTTCGAATATGGATCATCAGTCCTCGTTTTTCGCTTTACAACAGGACAGATGATGCAAAGGGTAACGACAACGCCTATTGCATTTCTAAGTGCCACTACCTATCCTTGGAGAGAAAATGAAGGGTTACAGTATCCGTAAACCCTCTAATGGCAGTGGGCCACTAAGGCTCAGGCCGGCCATCTGTAGCTCCACTAATTTGAAAAAAAAAAAGAGCTAATACCTAGATTGGTTGAGTTGAGTTGACGCACAACCCTGTCTTAATTCCTGCAGAGCCCTTTGAGCCCTGTTAACTGAAGAAGACAAAAAACAACATTCACCTATATCTATCGTCATCTGGGTAAATTGAGCACCCTAAGTTGCTTCTGAAGATTTCTTGTTCCTAAAGTATTTGAAAGCTCACCCTACAACTGATGTGGCCGAATTGCTCTATTAGATAGTATCTTCTCAATATAACTTCCAAGTTCAGGTGAGATAGAGTTTGCAGCACCAAGGACACACTTGTTGTAAGAGAAATCTGCACTAGTATCGTCACTCCTTTGTACAATGAAGCACCTTGAGTTCGGGTGACCAGGATTCACTCCAATCTGTATGTAGCACGCAACATGTGTTTCGATCAGAACATGCTAGAATGAAGAATAATCATAATGCAACACGGGGTGCTTTTGATATATCATACAAAAAAATGGTTGTAAGAAAGAATGCATCAGGTGGTAAGTGGTAATCGCAGCAGGGGTGGGGTGGTGGCAAGATTTCTTCAACATCAAGAAGTTAACAGTGCTTGGAAATATTACAATAAAAAAATAACTCCACCCTAGGGGAGAACATCCCGAAGGCATTGAGTTTGAGGTCCAGAAAAAGCCTCGAAAGCCAGCTCCATAACAGGGACTCCATTGCCACAGGCCATGTCTTACTTAACCCATACTTAGGGGAACACACAGCTAGAGCCATACAGGGCCTTTTATTTGTTTGAACCAGGGTTACCTTGGTTGATAGACTCACAACTGGACCCTGATTCCTAATTATATTGAACACAACCCCCATACCTACCACATTAATTGGACAGTTCACTAGGGGCGCTTGCATGTTAAAACCAAGAATATTAACACACATAGGCATGAAGAAAGATAGTGCTACTATTTTTTTAGCCATAAGAGAACTATTACTGCAGTCTGTAATCAATGAAAATTTGAATTTATATTCGGAAATGCTATACATATGTTGCCACAATTTTGATGGGATTACAGTTGCTTTTGTAGCTATTGGATGTCTTTGGGATTCATGCCTTATTTTCTTCTGTACCCGATAAAACTAGTTTGCAGCTTGCACTGCCCCTCTTGTGATACGGTTGCATTGCTAACTCTACTGTAGATCTTTTCCTCCATGACTAACTCTTAGAGAGCCAATTCTGCTCTTCGTTCATTTGAGATCAACAAAATTTACATTGAACTATGTAATATTGTATAATTTAGGTTATGAATACTGTAGTTTTTAGATTCAACTCTTAACTTTCTACATGCATATATGCAATATCTGTACAGTTTCAACAAGCACAATCTATTGCATCTACTATATTTTTTTTACACAATCTAGCTGCTTAATTGACTGCATAGATGAATCAGCCCAAGCTGCCCATCTAGTTGCAAAGTGTAGAATCAACCCAATACATATATGGGCGGGTAAAGGAAAATGGGCTTCAGAAGCAGGCCAGCCCGATTGGGGTGAACTCCTAAAACTGTTTAGATGATCAGACCTATAATCTATGTTCACTCGTTTGTGATCATGCGGCGCAAAAATCTGATTGTTTTTTCTTCAATTTTGTGTTGCATGTTGTATAGATAGACCCTTTATATTAGTGTGAAAAGACAAGGGCCATGCAGAAAAGGAAATGCATTTATACAACCTACCTTGATTTCTCTTATCCCCACACCAATCTTGTCATATCCTCTAGGATGAAATTTCAACGCCTCTATCAAGCATGATTTATCTTGTTCCGTGACAACTTCATTTAATGTGTACCTTCATGCAAGTAGAAGAGGACATTAAATATAAAGGATACTAAAGCTAGAATTTTGTAAAAGGAAAATAACTATCAGAAACAATTCCACGGATAGTGATATAGCATACTCTCTTAGCATATTTTGCAAGCAAGTGCGCATGTCAATGATGTTCTCCCATATGCCAACTTTAGAATCAAGAAACTTCTGATTGACAGATATGGTACCACCATTGATGGTAGCATTGCCTTTAGAACTGAATGCTGATCTCTGCTTGGAAGGTTTTTCAGTCCTTTGTTTGTAGGTATCCATAAAATTCTTTTCCAAAGCCTGAACTTCGGGGTTATGTAGAAAGTCATAGATATTCTTGTTTTGTTTTGTCTTTTGTGACTGCAACAAAAAAAGTAAATGTAATCAGCCAATTTGAATATCTGAACATCCATTGATTACAGAAGCAAACAGTGCAATTCAAAACCTGTATAAAATTAATGTAGCGCAATTTCACTAATCAACATCATAGAGATATAATATAATAGCTTCACTTCATTTTATATCAATCATAAATTAAGCACGTTAAAGAACATCTAAAAAATTGTTGTGGCTGCTTAAGCAGGGAAGTTACAGTACACACCTTTCCGGAATATAGAATCATAAATTAATGGAGCACGTTAAAGTACATCAAAAAATTGCTGTCGCTGCTTAAGCAGGGAAGTTATAGTACACACCTTTCCGGAGTATAGAACCTTGAAAGGACCTGATGTCCCAGCACAAGGTTCTTTGCCCCAGGCAATTGCATCTAGAGCACCAGAGAGATTGTCCACTGAATCTCGCTTTGCAGCATTTATAAAGCTATATGCAGGCCTCTGCCAAAAAAGCCATAAAATCAGAATATGTTCAGAACACTTTAAAAGGAAATCTCATACAAGTAAATAATCACTGAGAAAGGTAAGATTGCTCACAGAAAAGCATGCTTCCGAAAATGGCGAGGAGATTGATAACCAAGCCCTTTGTTGCTTTAAACCTTGACTGCTTAGCCCGTGGAACTGCCCACTTATAGACAGACAGTCTGCCACAACCAGTAAGTGCTGTCGATGGATATTCCTTCCAATAGCATCTGTTGTTGATCTTAAAGACTGAAAAACAAAAGCAAATGAAAACCAAAATGTTGTAAACTATAGTACTACCTCCGTTTCAGGTTATAAGACTTTCTAGCATTGCCCACATTCATATAGATATTAATGAATCTAGTCACGCATATATGTCTAGATTCATCAACATATATATGAATGCGGGCAATGCTAGAAAGTCTTATATAATATGAAACGGAGGAAGTAGAAATTATCACAAGCAATTAGATTTGACACTATTTTACACAGAAACTCATGGAACAGTGAAACCAGAATGAAAAGCAGTATCATACTTCAACAAAGTATTTCCATGCTGAGTCTATGCCATATGAGCAGAAAATATCATATACTCTCTCTGGTCGGCTCCGTTCCCAATCAATCAACTCCATTATTGGTATGCAAGCATTTTGTAGTGTCGCCCAGAACTTGCCTGTCTTGCAATGCTCAGACATACCGACTTTCACAACAAGTTCACTATCCTGTTGACATTCGACCTTAACATTCTCAAATTCCAAAAATCCTGCAAATGAAGGAAATCAAGCAGCACATGTGTTTTCAGTCTAAGAGGATGACACAACAGCTCAAATTCTATCAGGTGAATTGTACTGGGTTCTTCATGGATCAATGGACCGCTGGTTTGCAAATTAGAATTATGCTTTTGCAAACCAAATTCGGACCTAAAGATCCCTTTCTATATTCTAAGACCTTAATTCTCATATTTATGAAACATAATATAGAGAAATGTCAAATTATAACAACAGGAATGGTTTTTTAAAGAGTGCTAAAATAACTCAACTTGGTGTATCTGGCATACACCAAGTAGTACATTTTCACGAAACGTTTCCTTGTGTGGTTAGATGGCTATTGGCCTATTAGTGGCAATAACAGAACTAACTCTATAAAATGTCGTCTACTGTGTATTGGACTTGTGGTTAAGTATGCCATATTAAAATAACAAAACAGGTCATGGTTTGTTTTCAAAAACATGAAAAAAAAACAAATCTAGCTTTGTTTTCAAAAAACATAGAAATAAAGCTTAGATCGAACATTGAGAAGATTTTTTTTTG